GATGACAGAGAATCTTGATTCCAGAAAAGAACACAAAAAAACCATTTTAAACTACATGTATTTGTGGAAATGTATTTAGTAATGAGATAAGAAAACTGTGCAGATATGTTCTACTAAAGAGCATGCCATAGCGGGCATAAAGATATATTTTATTAAAAAGAAATATATAAGACACCACACTAAATTTCCCAAAATGAACAATAGTTATATGACACTTCCTACTGCTTCTCAAACTATATAGAACCACTGTCTTCAAGTAACTTTGAAATGCAAGGCACAATCAGCAACTATAGGAAAACAGAATCCAGTCCTATGAATGTAGCAAGCAAAAAGTAAATATACAGGTGTATCCATGTATCCAGAGTCACATTCCCCCACCCTATGAAGCTGTTTTTATATCTCCCCCCCTTGTTAGCTTTGCAGAACCAAAATGCAGAAGAGCATGCTACAGAATTGTACCATACAAGAGGGAATCAAATTTAATAAGCATCGATCCCTTACACCACTCCAAGCCAGCTGAAAACTGTGGATTGCCTTAGGTGGTAAGAAGATGTTGCCATTTCTGATAGAAAATTGCATTATAAATGACAGTGAGGAAGAAAAGGATTTGATACAGGAATGACATGCTACATTTGTAGGAGTAGTAATTGGGAAAAAAAAATCTTTGAAAGTGTAAAATAACAGAATTATTGAGGTATAATCATCATGGAATGGGACCTACAAAACAAAGGCAAGAGAGACCTGAAATTACAAGTTATGTCTTTAACATTAATTCCTCAGCCTTTACAAAAAAATCCTTGAGAGTGGTTTTTAATTAGACTGTAAGCAATTGAAATCCATTTCTATCCAGAGACCTAAAACCATCTTTGGTACCACCACACTGTTTCTTTGGTTGTACACTCTACATATTTCCCCCACGTTTGTTCTCTCTACTTTTTAGGACACATTTATTCCAGTGGCAAATGCCACTGTGATGTGGAAGTGTTCCAGTAACCTATCAAACTTCTCTTGGTGCTTCCATTCTCCTCCCTTCACAGGGAAATCTGTGCATGCAGGGAAGTTTAAGTAGGTGGGTAAATTTTGTACCTCAATGCTGACTTGGATGGAAATGTCTTCAGCACAGGGACTGTCTGCTACTCTCTGTTGACATATTACTCTGCAAAACTGCTCCCTATCCTAGTTACTTGGTCCAGCACTGGATCCCAATAAACAGTCAGAACAGAAATATGGGCTTCACTTCCACTCTTTATTGTACAGCTTAATTCATGCTTCAAAAAAAAAAAAAAGTGGCACAATTAGATTCTAGTCATTCAATTACTCTTTAAACTAATTTCTGAAAATCTTTAAAATGATCACAGTTACTAGAACCACTTTGCAGGTTTCATTACAATTTAGGGACTATTTTATTTAACTTACAGCACATAAAAGAGAGAAGCATGTGCTCTAAGTAACAGCAGTACTGAAACCAGATATTTAAGCATTCATAGTTTAAGAATGGTCACCACAAATTTTTAGATCCTGTTACCTTTAGTAGAAACAGACAATTAAAAAGGCTGCAGTTCTCAGACCAGATTACTGATTTCAGCAACCCCTCCCCCAATCATGTGACCATGCTCTGCACTCTGTCAATTAAAACTTATTTAATCTTAGTCACTGTCACATTTGTAAAGATTAAACAATAACCTGTAAGGACCTGTGACATATTGCTCACTAATAATTTTGTTTCAGAAGATGCTAAATATTCCCAGCGTTTTGCTAAGCAACATCCTAATCTGAGAACAATGAAGAAATTCTATGATTCCTTTTCCTTTGAAATCACTTTGTGTTCCACAACCATGACTTCCCCAATCCCTCTTCCACTACTGAGAGCAAATAAACAGATTCAGCCAAGAATCAGATGCTCTTTCTGCAAGTGTTTGAACAGGCACCAGCTCCCAAACTGCAATGCAGGTGTTTCTGGTGATCTGAAAAGCCATGATCCATGGTCTGTAATCAGTGTATATAATCATATAAAACAGTAAAACTGAAAGTATTTTCAACTGGTACTAAGAATCAACCATATTGTGAAACTGACAGAGGTCAGTTAATCCAAATTCAGATTTAAGGCAATACCACTGCCCACAAAGATATACAGATAAATTATACACTCTTAATTGTCCAACATCTTATTGACTTGCTCACTTAACAAGACCCTTCCACTCCACCACGGAAAGCTTCATTAACTAAACTTTTGAGACACTATTAGATACCTACTAATTAACAAAGACAGAACTACAAAACTAGTAGTCAGCAATGTTAAGTGCAAAAGACATCCCAACGGGATGTGAAAACATATCTGTGTTTGCAGACAGTTGAGCTCAGGCTAACAAGTGACAGCAGCCCCCCCTCCTGTGCTTCTGCACTGCCCCCCCAGCTCCCAGGGGAGCAGCAGGCTTGGGAGCCTGGAGCTGGCTTCATGCAGGCACTTGGATACCCCATTCCACAGCCATATTTTCTGGGAGCAGCAGTAAAGAGACATCCTCTAAGTATCAGTATTAACCACTTAATTTGTTGATTTAATAAATGTATACAATAGCCTGGGAAGTAAAAATGTGTCTTCAGTGAATAAACTAGCTCTTACAGTCACTTGTTCAAACCAGTGCATACACAAAGTCAGCAGTCAGCCAGTTTCAACTTACCTATTAACTGCTTTAAAGTAACACATTCCCTCAATCATACACAGCCAGACTTCCCAGTTCCCAGGACTACACTGCTTGCTGCAAGAGAGCAGTGTGCTCTGCAAATCAATGCTTCACACTACCAGTGCCACTGGAAATGCACAGGTTCTTTGTATTCCCTGAACACTTTTAGTTACATTCTTTAATAAGCTTCAGTTCATAACAAGCTGATGAACTACTTCTTGCCCAGCCTCCCAGAAAAAAGTTGCTGAGCCTTGACTTCTCTATTACACAACTTATAGACAGCTTTTTATCCAAGAATCACATTTAACCTGAAAAACCAGGCACGTCATGGACCTGAGTATTTCCAAATCAAAGAAGTCCAAGTCTGAAAAAAAAATTTTACCATTTTGAAACTATGAAAATATATTTGTTGTTCTTGACAAATCACAGAGAAAAAGATTCAGTAGTCATTTCCACACATGCTTTCAGACAGCAGCACAAACAGGCAGGAACTGCTGATATTTTGCCAGAAGTGCCAGATAGATCAATACTATTAACAACTACTGCCAGTGTCTGCAACCTCTCACCTCCTGCCTTGCAAACTTTACTAGGCTCATTGTTTATCATCATTATTACTACAGATAATTTTGTACTAAACTAGCAGACAGCATCTAACACCAGAAATATGCAGATACAAAGAAGGATTTAACATTCTGATTGAATTCCATTAAAAATCAAACACCAATCCACTAAATTCAACTTAGAGAAAAAACAATTTTCAGAACTGCAATAAAAATCTCTAAATCTCACAAAACTGCTTTTGACACAAATGCTTATACCAACTTGGATCTTGTATTAATCAATTATTAACCACTTCTACCTTGCAATTAAAATTATTCATTACTATAAATATTCAGGAAGAGGTTGTCTTTGTTACAGAATTGTTGATCTTAAGACTATCGGGTTAATAAAGCATAATTAAATCCAGGCATTTAAGTGCAAGCTTGCAGGGCAGAAAATTACCTCAGGAACAAGATTATTTTGAATTCAACTCCTTGCTTTAGTGGTTTTGGGAACTGGCAAAACAGGAAAATCCTGAAAAGGGTGTTTAAACACCTAACCTGGGTTTTGTTCACTTAAGACACGTTAATAATCCATTGCTAGTGGCAGTTCTTTTGAAAGAAGGGACATCAACAACTGACAAGGTTATTTTTGCTGAAGAGGCTCTTTTTAAAATATATGCTTACTGCAAAACAAATCAACTAAACACACACTGTAAGAACTGATGTAACAGGTAGATGGAGCAAATTAATCTGCAGCACAAGTAAGATTCCCCCCTCCTACAAGTTACTTCAGAGAAGCTGCTAGGGGAGTCAAGATACACAGACGCTTCTCATTTCATTGTGTGTGTATGACTGGGATGTGGAATGTGCTCTCACTGTGTTCAGACCTGTCCCAGATTTCCCTCTGATTTGAAACAGGAGGGAAAAGAGCCTCCCTCTCCCGAGTGCTGGCAGACATCCCCGTGGGAGGGAGGCTGGGCTCTCACCATCAGGTCCAACGGCACGTTCCGAGTATCTTTAAAGACAGAAAAACAGCCGGCTCTCGGCGAGACAAAAGCGGCTCACGCCAGGCTCCGCAGCCCGGCTGTCCCGGCGCGGGCAGGGAAGAGGGAGCTCGGGATCCCGACCCGAAGAGCGGGCACGGCCCTGAGGGCGCGGATCCCCAGGGAAGGCTGCCTTAAACCGTATGGCCGGGGGAAGTGCGTTTAAATTTCTGTGTGCGGGAAATGGAAAGCGGATTAAATCCCACCTGTGCCCGGAGGCAGGCAGGCACACACTCAGGGAAAGGACAAACAGGGAAAGCTGAAGCCCCACACGGCAGCTGGCGAGACCAAGGCGGTTCAGGTATCGATGTGAAGGAAAGGGGCTGACGGAGGAGACTGCGGAGTTCAAGTTCCAGCCCCCCTCCCCCGCATGTACGAGGAAAGCGGGCGGAACCGCCCAGGTCGGGGCTCCTCGGGCGTCAGGAGGCGCGAGAAGCGACGGCTCGGGCTCCCCCAGCTGAGCGCGGCGGACGACCCTGCCCGCCGTGCGCTGAGGGGCGGGCGGAACGTGAGCCCCGCGGGCCGGGGGAGCTGCGCCCCGGCCCTTCCCCCCTCTTTTTCTTTCCCCTCTCCACTCGGGCGAGCCCCATTTCCATTTCCTCGAAGCGGCAGCCGAGGGCGCTGCTCGGGGCCGGGCGGGAGAGGGAGCGGCAGGAGCCAGCGCCGGTAGCGCCTTGTTCTCTGCAGCCAGGCCAGAGAGGGCTGCGCGCCCCGCGCCCCACGCCCGGGCTCACCTCCTCGATGGCCGCCACCGTGTTCCTGCACTGGGCCATCCGGGTGGTGAAGTTGGAGGCGGTGGGTGACTTGTAATCCTCATTGGTCTCGGACACGAATTCCGACACGGAGATCTGGTCCGGCATGGCGGGGCGGGGATGAGCGAGGGGAGGGAGGGGGAAAGCAGGCGGCTCCAGGGGCAGGGAGGGGAGGGCGTAGGGGGGGCTCCCCCTCACATCGCTCGGCAACCGGCGGCGGCGGCAGCGCCCTCCTCGCAGCCCCGCTGTCTGGAGCGGTGTTGTTCCTCAGCCGCCACACAAGGAAATTCCCCGCACCCACACTCCTCCTCCTGCTCCTCCCGCGCGGTCACGCAGCACCGGGGGCCGGGCACACGCCCAGCCGCGGGAGCTGCCTGCACACCCCGCCCTCCCGGTCGCTTTCCCCCTCTCGCTTTTCCTCCTCCTCCTTCGCTCCCTCACACGCTCGCGGAGCGGGGGCGCGGCCGCGCGACCCCCGGCAGCGCCCGGAGCGGACCTGCCGCCGTGCACTCGCCACCCGCGCCCGCCCTGAGAAGATGGCGGCCCCCTCCCTCTTTCCCTCCCTCAGTCCGTCCTCCCGAGCCCCGAGGGGAGAGGAGGTGGCAGGCGCCGGCTGGGTAATCCCAGCGACAGGCAGGACGAATCCAGCCGTGTGGTTCTGGTAGTGTTTAACAACAAAAACCCAAGGGCAGGGGAAGGTGAGGTGCCGTGCCTGCCTGGCAGGAGGAGGAACAGGTTGAAGCCCACAGGACAGGTCTCCGCACTGTCCCCTCCGGGACTGCTCGCAGGTGCAGAGACAGTCTCTTCCCTCACAGCTCGTAATTTATCTTTCAACAGTTTAATCTGTTTTACGAGTTCGTTGTCTAGTTTCGAGGGATCTAAAGAGAAATGTTGTCGTTCCCAAGAGGTCCGTGCAAAAATATGTTTAAGCTAAGTAATGTTTAAATCTAAATTCTTAAAAAGCTTTTTCTGTATTCAAGGAATAAGAGCTATCAGAGGAGGTGCTTTGTTCTTCAATATAATACACAAGGATCACTCAAGGCAAAAAGGGGTGAAACTCAGCCGGAGCTGTGGCGTTTGTGACTGATGCAGCAGAAGGGACACTGGCAATGGGTCACTGAACGAGCATGGTGTGGCTTGCATTGGGAATACAGGGATGTGATCCATGGCAGGGGTTTCTTTTGGCCTCAAAGCCCTTAGGACTTCTATCTGATTCCTGCAGAAAGCTTCAGAAGCCTGTATTTTGGCCCAGAAGCTCTCCTGTGGCTCTTTCACTCCCCTCTGGTGATAGTTATTAGCTTTCTATAAGTGATTCTTTATTACTCTGTTTTAAAACTCTTCAGGGAATTCAGATGAGTAAGCAGGTACTCTTTTGCTGCCTATTGTAAAGTGTCCAAATAAATAACTGTAAGCCTGCCCAGATGTTACTGCCCTTTGCAACCCTTGCTAGATCCTTTAGCATAAATAATAAAGCTTGTCAGCCATATTTATTTTCCTGGTTGTAGTAAATCAGATGAATGAATGCAGGGTCTATCTGCATGTTCTTTCAGTTTTTTAACTCTTAGTATTTTTTCCATCCTAATCATTCCTTATTTTCTCCAATGAAAGTAAGCACTGTTGTTTTGCTTTTAACTTCAGTGCTGCTCTCCTTGTTAATACTTATGTGTGATCAGTTATTACAGCGTATAAAGGTATATATTGTTCTGCTGCTAATGCATTAAATTTCTTGTCTGTATTTGTATGTCACATAATAAATATAGTTGAGTAGAAATATTAATTCTTGCTAAAAATGTGTGATCTTACATTTTCATTTTTGCATTAGCTGACAGTAGTGCCTTTAAAGCAGCACTTATCACACTATTACCCAAACTTAGTAAACACTAGCATTCTTAAACTGCCTACCATATCTTCCAGTGTAGCATATTTATTTTGATATTTTGAAGGGGATCTGAAAGGCAAATACTCCTAGACTTTGACTTTCTGCAGCAGCTCTTCTATCAGATATATTGCAAATCTGCAACATAATAATGCAGCCTCTAGAGGTTGCATCCACAGTTTGATATTGGAGTATATGCAACTGAGATGGTGTCATGGTTTAACTCCAGTCCAGTACAAAGCAACAAAACATCACACAGACACTCATCACTGCTGCTCTGCCCAGTGGAAAGGAGAAGTAAAAAATAAAGGAAAAACCATGTGGGTTGAGCTAAGAACAGTTTAATAATGGAAACAAAATATTATAACAATAATAATGTTGCTGCTCTGCCCAGTGGAAAGGAGAAGTAAAAAATAAAGGAAAAACCATGTGGGTTCAGCTAACAGTTTAATAATGGAAACAAAATATTAATAATAATAATGATTATAATAGTAATTTTCTTGAGCAGAAGAGAGAGAAAGGACAAAAACTGAAGATGAACAAGCAGTACACAGGGCAATGCTCACCAGCTGCTGGCCAATACCTGTGCCATCACTGTGCAGTGGGTGATGCCCCCAGCCAACCCCAGTTTATTTGCTGAGCATAACATTCAGTGGTCCAGAATATCCCCTTGGCTTGCTCAGATCAGCTGTCCCAGTTATGCTCTTTCCTGGCTTCTCGTGCACCTGCTTGCAGGCAGGGCATGGGAAAATGGAAAGTCCTTGATTTAGAGTAAGCACTACTTGGCAACAACTAGATTGGTGTGCTATCAGCATTATTCTCATACTAAATTCCAAACACAGGATTGTGCCACCTGTGAAGAAGGAGATTAACTCTGTCCCAGCTGAAAACAGGACAGACAGTACCATCATGCAATGAGTCTTTGAATTCTACAGATTCTATTTTGTACAGCAGGTGAGGTTACATGATTGCAGTAGTATCTGATCTTCTTGTATTTTTAACTTAAATAGATTCAAACATTTGCCATCCCAATGAAACTGCAAGGCCTTTTTGCTTGATAGACTGTGCATTTGCCTCAGCTCTTCTCTTTATGAAGCTAAAGACTTGTGCTTGGGTAAACTTTCCAGAAGTTGTTTAGACTTGATATCAAGGCTCAACAGTTCAGAGAATTCCCTGCTTCTGCTGTGTTTTAGGACATCAGCTAATTGCATCTACATCTATTATTGCAGTTTTTCAGTAGTTAAGGAACTATTTGGTACTCAGGCTTTTCTACTTGTAAGCATTCTGATGAAATAATTTTCCAGTTTATTTCTTGATAAACCAAACTAAACAACTCTCCTCTCTTAAAGAGGGCAGAGTTAATTTGAATTGCTTTGCATTGGCCACAAAGCCAGACTGAGTATCCAGGCGGTGACTGTGAGTCAGCTGACACATAGCACCTCATTACTCTGCAGTAACACTTTTATTAGTGTGTGCAACTCCTGTGTCTCTCACTGAAAGGCTGTTTTCTCAGCCCTTCCATCATTTTTACAGTTCTAACACCACAATAAATTATTCTCCTGGTTCTCTACTCCTTTATTGTTATATTCAAGAGTATTAGACTTTCCAGTCCCAATGTCATGCTCAGGCTCATTTAACCCTACATTCTGGCCTTTAGATATTTGAGAATGATTCTTAATGTCAACACTCCATTCTTTCAACCTGTGAACAGGTATTGAAGTGGAATGCCTTGATAATGAGACAGCTGTGAACAAAGCTTCCTTGTGCAGAAATGGGTACTACTATTTTGTATTCCTGCTTGCTTCCTCACCACAGCTCCTCCTGTTCTGATTTTGGACCCTCCCTCAATAAAATGCCACTACCTTCTTTGACCCAGTCACTCAGAGATCTTCTACTAAAGAGAAATAGAAATAAATACAAATATTTTCCAAAGATTCATGCTCTGCACATTTCTGAAAAGCTTCTAATCTACTGGATACACACTGACTACAGCTCCATTAGTCAGAATACTTGATTTATACAAACATTTCTCCCAACAGTTACTTCAAAACAGCATTAATGGTTGCATCAGTCATTGTTGTTAAAAACATGTCATCTTCAAAATAGTAAGACAGATTTAAAAATAACTGATTTTCTTATGTTTTTGTTTATTTGTACGGTTGGTTTTGAGCCTTTAGAAATCTTATCTGCATGTCAAAATCTTTATTTGCATCACTGCTAGTGAGAACTCAAACTGAGGACCAGGTGCTATAGAAACAGAACAATAAGGCAGCCTCTGGAGATCCTGATATTTAAAATTAGCTAATAAAAGACAATTTAGAGTTAATATAAGGAAATACTGGACCATCATTAGTCTGTATTATAGTCCATGATCTTCACACACTGCTGCCCAAATGTTTCTTTAGACATTTTAAGTAGGATTTTCAAGAAGGATTATGTGATAGATTGGTGTGTTTAAGGGGGAATTATTGCAAGAATAAGGGTCAACATGAAAGAAAGCACAAAAGACTTTGTGTCCTTGAAATTTAACATGTCAGAGTTGGAGGTAAATGTCATGGATCAGAGGAAAAATTAATGTCTGTTTAATGAGAGGACATGCTAATGGACTTTTGAAAATAGCAGGGAAAGAACATGATGATCTGGTTAGAATATGATGATCCCTCAAGCATAGGGTGCCTAGGGTATAAAGTTTATTTTTAGCCCACAGCAGTTGTGTCATTATTGCCCTCCACTAACCAGCTCCATGACTGATTGTTTCTGTTTGCTCTATTTTTATTTTATGTCAATGGTTTTTCACAGAATTTCTTTCTTTAGATAGTTTGGGGAAATACTTTTTATTGGCCTTCTTTGTGTGTACTCAGTACTTACAATGAATCTGAGGTATATTTGTTAATTCTATTACGGGTGTTTTGAGGGAACACAACAAGAAGATGGTTCATAGAAAATCTCACTAGCATCATCACTTATCTTTGAACTTCAAAAATAAGCATGCAAATAAATGTAGTCTGGCAGTTGCTAATTACTGGGTGACGATTCTCAGGCAGGTGGGTGTTAAACTCAGGAAATTTCTATAGTATATATAATTCATAGCAGATTAGTAAAACACTTTGTGGTGAGCCTTATTAGTGGATTCTGTCATTTCATCCCAATTCTTACATTCTTTCCATGAAGTATCAATCTCTGGTGTTGATTGCGCAGAGAAACACTTTCAAAACAGGTTCCACTTTTGAATATTTGTTACCACAGTTTAGGAGAAAGATTTCTCGTGATTTCTAAATGTATTAATTCCCAAAAGAGCAGATACCTGGTTATTTTGAAGTCTTTCTTATGATTTTGGAGGTTTGACTCATGTTTTAATGATACCAATTACAACATGTAGCAACTTTAGAGTAGCAAGTTTGTCTGCTCTTTTAGAATTAACTTGAAAATAATTCTTATTTGAAAATTTATTTGGTCTCATAGGACTATTTCCAGAGATTTATTTCTACAAATTAGTGCAAATTCTGAAAATTAAAAAAGTTCGGAAAAGTAAGTTTTTTCAGGTCTTTTTGGTTTTGGAAGTGCCTGCTTGAAAATCTGGTTTAAACACATGTGATCGTATGCTTTTCCCACCCTTACTACATTTTACATCATGAACCTTTGCATTGCTCTCAGAGTTTT